TTGAGTTTACTTTTTTACCCACCATCAACCGAAAATTTTACCACAGAAGAACGAACAAGAGCCAGCACCAACTCCAAAAGCAGAAGTACTCAATCATGTCGATTCAAGTCGTTGCTATTCTCACCCCCGCTCCGGGCAAGGCGGATCGTGTACGTTTTCGCCCTCGTTGGATGAGATGCGCTGTGAGCTTGTAGTGCTGACACTTTACCCCTCTCTCCAGCTCAAGGAACTCCTGACTGGCCTCGCCGACAACGTCTCTAAGAACGAGAAGGATGTCGTGAGTCCGCTCCAGTCCGATCTAATCCGAGGCGCGGAAAAGTGGCCTGATTTTGTTCTGACATTGTCTTTAGTCAAAGTACCAGATCTTTGAGCAATTCAACAGCGAAGGAGTAAACGTTTTTGTCGTTGAGGAAACTTGTGAGTTGTCTGGTGAATGATGGCAACATGTGATGTCGGCCATGCTGATGAAGCCGTAGATGACAACCAAGCCGCCTTCGATGCGCACTTTAAGACCGAATATTTCCAGGCTATGGGAGCCACGGTCAAAGAGGAGGCACTGGTCAGCGGGCCGCTTGATATCAAAACTATCAAGCCAATTGGCGGATTCGCCTCTAGATGATGCATAGGGCCATGGGAATTTTATGAGTCGTATGAGACGGTATAACGACTCCAAATTGCCCAAGTTAGCTGCTATAATTGAAGAGCATGTAATCTCTGTCCTATTTATTGATTCTATGTGGTGCCTTCAGTTGTTGCAGCATCACTTTATATAACCATACATGTGATATCCGCGTCATGTCAAGCGTCCTGGCAAGATGATGATTTAATCGCACTCGGCTTGACCATCATCCATATAGTATTTGCAGGTAGACAAGCATGTTTTGACCGAACCTCGATTCTCAATTTCCTCGGAATTCTTCAGAGGGATGTCACGGGCGAGCCAGGGAAGCTTCCAGGATGCCCCGGAGTAGAAGCAGATACATAAACAATGTCTTTTTGCTAAAGCAGACTATGCAGACAACAGATCCATCCAAAAACGCTATGGATACAAGAAACGAATGTATTCCCTCCAGCAACTCGCCAGCCCTAGACCGAACTACCCTAGCAATAATCCTCAAAGTAGGAACATCCCAGCAGCGACGACTAAAATGGTCGACAACATCGTGAACTGGATACTTCCAACACGGACGATAGTTCCAGAGCTCTTCCCACTAGTAGTAGCCGCCTCTGTCGACGCTCCACTATCAATTCCCCTCCCACTGCCAACAGTCATACCCAAAGCCTTACAGGCATCCATAAACGTCTTGTTGCTCTGCAACTCCGTCAACATGGCCTGAGCTTGTACAGCCTCCGTCTTGATCTTATCCGCCTTTGTCGAATTGCCCTTCGTGACTTTGTCAAGGACCGTCTGATTGTTGACCTTGGCGACGAACTGCGCAAGCTGCATCATGCCCTTGCACTCATCCTTCTGCAAGATCGTTGGGCAGGCTGCTTGCAATGTCGAGTTGCCCATCAGGCTCTGAAGCTTGGTAGCTGCAGTCGAAGCTTTCGCTTGAATAGAAGCAATCTTCGTGGCATTGTTGTTCGTCTTCGCTGCAAGTGCGGTCGTGTTTGAGGCGAATGCAATGAATGCCTGAAGCTTGAAAGTCTCCTCGCATCGATCCTCCTGCTCCTGAGAGGCATTTATGACAGCGCAGGCTGAAATCAGGGTGGCATTGCTCTGCAAACTGGTAAGTTGTGTTGATGCAGTGGATGCTTCGGCTTGCAGTTGTGCGACCTTGGTGGCGTTGTTGTTGGTGAGTTCTTGCAGTTTGGTGGTGTTGGAGGCCAAGTCAACGAATTTTTGGAGTTTCCTGATTTGCTTGCACTGTGATTTTTCGGAAATGGGTTTGTCGGCTTTTGCAGCAACAGATGTGGTGAGCAGAAGAGAAAAGAGGATGGATTGAAGCTGCATCTTGAAGGTCGTTTGCTGTAGATTTGGGAACTGCTCGAAGATATGTACTGGAAAAGCGGACCAGCCGATGAATTTGTTGGAGGAAGGGAAGTGAAGATAAGAAACAAAGCAGACAATTAGAATAACAGAACAAGAGACAATGGATGCTCGTGGGTTATGGGAGAGGTATTTGTCCTACGTGTGAACGCATTGAGATGGCTGACTGTCACTTGGAGGAGGTTTCAGATGCCAAGCCTTCCGAAAGAACCACTTCATGGCTTCGACAGAGTCTCCTTTAGACGTGAATGCCTTGCTTGCACTCAGACGTGCGGATTATGCTGACGCCGCTTTGCAACGCAGTCCGTTCTCTGCTGATTCTGTCTTCATCTGAGGAACTGAGACCTCGGCCTGATGCAAATGAAAGCATCTCATAGGTCGAAATCATCCGTGAATAGTTTCACCAGAAACATAAAGCCTCTCGTGAAGTCAATTCCAGTGGTTCTGCTATGGAGAATTAGTCGTGCCAATCGCACGGACATGTCTCTTTGGGAGTGACACTTTGGGTGTCGAGGATTAGGATTCAGAAGTGGAGTTGAAACAACCGAAAAGGGTTCGAAAGGACAAGCGAGGCCCAAAGATCACCCCTCCCCCCTTTTGAACCGAACTGATGAGTCGGTAGGTGTCATATTAGGCGCAATCGTATCTATTTCCAGAATATGCCAATCAGATTGTCTGCAGGGAGATCTGATAGAAGACGAACCATCTTTTGCAGAGCAGTATTAGGCTACCTGGGTCCATGTTTACAAGTCACGTGATCACATGATCTCAGTGAGTCTTGGTGTCACAACGCCAGTCCTTTCCGCGATGTTGATGTTTGGGACATTGAAGTGTTCGTATGGTGGAAATTTCTTTTTGTTGTAACTGGGTATGTTCGGAGGTGGTGAAATTTGGCTTGAGATATGATTGCTAGACCCTTGTCAAGGACAACGCGGAGCTCGCGGGGCGAACTGCCAGAGAATGGAGGGGTGTGTGTTGTTAGGCAAATTGGCATGTGCTGGCTGCCTTCCTGCCTACCATTCCTGAGATAACCACCTTAACCCTCCCCTCCCTCTGCTGCTTTCTGTACACAAAGAAACACAAACATCACGGCACACAAGCGCCTGTCTAGGTGATCGAATCATCATGTTGTCAAAAGGAAGATAGCTCAAGGGTAAGACTTGGCGGCTGAAAACAGGACGTTAAACTGATGACGTTGGTAGGGCTGGAAGGTCGTGAAATCGCTGGGCAACAGCAACCACCTCCACGCCAACTTCGCGATATCAGGCTCCTTCTGCCTATCCATCACCTCATATATCCTCAAAGATGGTTCTCGTCAAGCACGAAATCCCGGTGAGGGCGAGAGTCCCCCAAAACCAAGGCAGCTCGAATGCCAGCTCCAGCACTGAAAGCTCCTCTGGGCAAGCACCCCTGCCTCAAGCGGCGTATGAATCCACCTTCCAAGTCGAACCACGTCCCTCTGTCGCACCCATTTCCCCACAATCTCCAGCCAGCCGACAGTCATACCAGATGCAGTTGATGCTATTGGAACAGCAGAACAAGAAGCGGCTCCTATGGGCGAGACAAGAAGCCGAAGAAACTCGACAATGGTTGGAGAGAAACAGTCGAACAGTCTCGGAAGAGTTGAAAGCTGCTTCGCGCGAGGACTACCATCTGCAGCAGATGGCTTTGGAGCACGAGAATGGAAAGAGGCTGATGGGAGCGAGGCAACAACTGGCTGCACACACCAGTGGTTCGCGGAACCAAGGACACGATGCGCACGCGAGTGTCGGGAGCTATGAACAAATGGATCCTATGACCCAGATGTCGCAGTTGAGTTTGTTGGAACAGCAGAACAAGAGACGACTGGAACAGGTTCGCAGATCAGATGTTCAACGTCAGCGTTTTGGGTGCGGGGTCTCTGAGGGTGCAGATAGGGACGAAGGGAACAGACAAGTGGAAGATTCTGCAAAGCAGAATGAGGCACCGAACTTCTTATCACAGAACCCACCTGCCGAGACAGAAGACAAATGGGGGAAAGGTTCTTTCCCTGCAGGCCAAGGTGTCATCTCAGGGTATGAAGTTCAATTGATGGCTCTCGAGAACCGACGCAAGGAAGAAGCTGCCACGAGAAGCCAGACGGAAGTCGAGTTCAGCCAGCAACGCCGTCGGTATCTGGCTGAGGAAGCTGAGATGTCGAGATTGTCTGGCCAGCAACTTCCTGGCGCACCTGGAAGTTCTTGTGCACCTCCCGGTACCGTTCATGGTCACCCTCTGGCCTTCAGACCTGTTCCTCGCCCTGATGCTCAGTTTGATGACTTGTATGACAACTGATTGTGCCGATTTTTCCTTGGAAGATCTTGAATTCTTGTGAGCGAGTATCTTTAGCGAGTTGGCCTTGGGGAAGTTTCTTTGGCTTGTTCCTTTCATGATCCAATCGTTGTGGATCTAAGTATTTTCTTAGGTGTCCGGTTCTTGAGTGAGTGAGTGGACAAGTGTGACGAAAATTGTAGGGATTCAAAATCAACCGTACCGTAATGAAGCGAGGAGTCGGCGGCGTTGTATACGATTTCACCAATACGAAATAATGAATGTTCAGATTACATAGTTTATTTCTTGTGTTCTATGTGAAGTCTCGGTATTCCCGGATTTATCTTTGTTCCAACCGTGATCTCACAAGTGATATGAGGCTGCTCCGTGCTATTCTTCAAAGCTAATCGCCTTAGATTTGAGCACACTACCGTTGTATCTGTCTATCTACTACGCGAGGCTAATAATTACTTCACGAAATTCAAACACCCATATAGATCATCAACACCCAACCCTACTCAATCGAGATCAAAGTGGATTCTTATTCTCCCCCCTCTGCCTACTCCACCTTAACTCTTCACATCACCTCACCTCTCCACCGCACAAACACTTCTCTACTCCATACCTAGTTAGGTATTCACCACTTCCCATTCCCCAAGAAATCACAAACCCCTTCAGCTACCTAAATAAGCAAAACCAATCCAAGTCAGCAGAACAAAAAGCGTTTGTGGTTTAGTGGTAAAATCCATCGTTGCCAGTGGTCACTCATTAGAGTGATCATTCAGATTCGATGGGCCCCGGGTTCGATTCCCGGCGAACGCACAAACATAATTGGAACGTTTGCTTTTGCTCTTTCTTCAGTTCTTGTCATATTGCTGTTGTTAGATGGTGATCGTGGCAGCAATGCCATGAGTTGTTGAAGAACTTTGCGACATAGTTTTCTTTGCCGAAGTGGCTGAGGTATTGATTTGGTTTTGCGAGATGATAGAAGCTCAGGTCAACTCTCAAATTGCTTGTTGCCTCTTGTATAAATAACTTTTTTTTTCGCATGATCATTTAGTTTCGAGTCTAATGTTGTTTTCCGGACATAAGTCAAAGAATTGAATAATCAACGAGCGAGATGCAAAAGAACTACATCGCCCTGGTTTGAGCCTGCTTTTCTATGGACAGACCACTCGAAACCATTTTTCTCATCTCTAGTATCTCATTACTTGGTATTTTCATAGACTTTACGGGTGCTTGGGGAAGATGTGGTCATCTGACAAATGGTAAACTACCCAGATGTTCGAGGTGCTTTACACCCCTACGCAGAACACTTTGATAGAGGAGTTGCACATGCCACTCTCAGACCGGTTTTCCTCAATCACGATTCGCTCCATCCGTATGGTACTGTTACCAGAACTCCTAGTATTGCAAAAGAGAACCTACAAAACAAAATTATCTTACTTCAAAATTACTTGCGCAAAGCTTTTGACTTTTCACTTCCCGAGTGTTGATATTGATGAGTTGAACATCAAAACCCACCACGTTATATTTTCCCGTCTCAACAAACCATGTTTGTAAATAGTAAATCAAACCTCCAAAGTCCCCTCCATAACCGTGGTCGCAGTACCACTCAACACAACCCTCTCAATCCCCTCACCATCCTCACCCCTAGTAACCTCAACCGCAATCTCATTCTTCCTCCCCATCTCCACCCCCTGCGTAAACACATACCTGAACGGCCCCCTTCCCAACTTCCTATCCTCCAGTCCAGCCAACCAACATCCCAACCCACTACTCGCACTCCCCGTCCCCGGATCCTCTCTCGATCCAAACATCCGCGTGCGGTACCTCTTCCGCCCAAACTCATCCGTCCCCTGAGGAACAAGATACATAGTCCCTACTAACCCGTTCTTCCACCCATCGTCCAAAACGGAAGGATCATACGTATCCCCATTCAGATTCTCCTTAGCTTTCGCTAAGGTCTCAAGGTCCGGAAGAACGACATAGATGAAACTCATCCCATTCACGATACTCACCACCGGATTCCCAATCTCATTCAAAGCACTCTCAAACGTCTTCCCATGAACGTGAAACTCAAACGGGATTTCCGCCTTGACTTCCCCAGTCTGGCCATCCTTCTCAATGGCGATCTTCCCAGCTTTCGTGATCACAGTCTTGACGTCCTGGGATGTCGTTTCCAGAAGGTAGTGTGAGGTTCCTATGGTAGGATGGCCAGCGAACGGGACTTCTGCTTTATGTGTGAAGATGTCGATTTTACGCTCGGTGGACGTGGTTCCTTCTGCGGGAAGGTGGAGGAAGACTATTTCGGACAGGTTGAATTCTGCGGCGATGGACTGTTTTTGGCCCTGTGTGAGAGTGGTACCGGAGGGAATTCTGATGATGGCGACGGGGTTGCCGGCGTAGCGGGTGGATGTGAAGACGTCCAGAGTGGTGTATGAGAGCTTCATTCTGGCTTTAGTTTTGTATCAAAGGCTTATGTCTTTGAGAAGCTGGGCATGTGTCAGTCCGAATTCTGTATTTGGATAATTGGCAAAGGAGGAGTTCGTACAGAACTTTATATATCTTCGATCTGAACTGAATCAATGCAGAGCACTTGATGCGGATCAATTCCTTTGAGTGAGAATTCGACGGTTTTATATAGCTTGTTGTCTGTACAAATAATCACATCCGAGGCTCTCTGCATTTGTTCGAGTGACTCATCCAATCAGTCTTTTTCCCCCTTTGACTCCACGCCCTTTCGCTTAAGTCCTCGAATTCGTATTCGTGTTGACCTCTGAGGAGATAGAAGTAATGGATTCGACAGTGTTTGTAGTATTCTGTTGCCTTTCAAAGTTTAAGATAGAGTGAACATAAAGGATTGGGCCACCTTTAATTAGCATACTTACCTAGGAGCCAGTTAGTCTTCACATGAAGCCCGAATTCCGTACGCGGAGTGACTGGAGAAGTACTCTCTAGTGAAGGGTGTCGAATAGATATTACAACCCACAGGTGGACGTCTTGGGTTATAAAGGTGCAGTTTGGATGTTCCGGACAGGTCCCTTTTTGGAGAATCAATCCGTCGAACAGGAATCCTACAAGCTCGTTTAATATGCCGCATTGGTGCTACGGATTGTGGAACACGATGATTTCATCAGGAACGGTAAGCAAGTAATTTGCCAGAAACTTAGCCTCATATCCACCCTTTCCATGAGCAATTAAAAGATGTCAAGGCTTTGTTCAAAGATATGGCACATGTTTCTATCCAAACATGTCTTCGTAAGAAAACATTTGGTCTCAAACGGCGAACGATATCCCAGTAGATTCTGGCAGATAATGACCATTCCCGTTGACGCCTCTAATGCTATGGTGCCCGCTAATACGAAGAACGAGGGGATTATGACCCATGTGTACACAAATAATTCTCGCTACTTCAGGAAATGTAGTCAAGATGTGCTTGAAGCTGTCCCACCACCAAGCACTTTTCTCATCCTCCCCGACCACCCCACAGACCCCCAGTGCATTCTCGTCGCCTTCAGAAGTGCATACGCAGCCAACCGATAGATGAGCGTACATACTCCTAGCGCAATCAAGTTTTTCAATGCATCTGTATTCAATTTGTACAGATCTAAGACCTGCTCTCCGTTCTCGATTGGACATCGTCCATCAGGCAGACGCTGTTCATAGCTACAGGTGAAATGGATGGCATGGAGGGAGTATGGTGCTAGGTTACGGATGGCGTATCGTAGAGGAGAGAGGTAGTTCACACCCTGAAGGAAGGCCGGCATATTGATTGACATGACTCCGGACATGAATTGCGAGATGGAGAGGAATACGGATGTCAAGGAGATGGCAAAGCCTGTGTGAGGGAAGAGAGTGTTGAACCTTGCAGATACATTAGCGGCATGTCTCGGAGGACGAAGATGGGTACTTACATGATGCCAAGACTTTCGCCACATGAGACAATGCAGAAACAGTTGAAGAAGCATACGAAGAAAAGTTGAGGTGTGCGTGGTAACCCGGCAGCCAAGTCAACTAGAACGGCGAAGATCAGACTAGTAGCGACCTCGAACGGGACTTCGAGAGTGATGTATTGTGCGAGGAAAGCCTCCACACCATATGTACCGTCATCGTTTTCTCTGTAGAACACATCTTTCTCGGCCGGATACACAGCTACGTTCTGCAGCATGCCAACAAAGTTGAATGCGCAGAATTCTTGGATGAATCCCAGCCGGGTTTGAACGGAAGCGTAGTCATTTTTCAATGGAGCAAAGAACAGTGTGAGGATGACTGCTAAGCCGGTAACTTGCGTGGTACGAGCTATGAGCAGGGGAGGTTGACGACGGAAGTTAATGAAGGCGCGATGGACAAGAATAGGATAGGCTGCAAAGAAGGTTGTCGACTTGCGGATCAAGGATCCCAACTCAGCAGGCGTGGAGATAGTCGTAGGCTGAAGCACCGAGGCGAATTCTCCACTTGTCCAGGATGATATAAGAGAACGGACTTTTTGACGAGTCGCAGCCTCTCGCTCTGAGTGTTGAAGATCAATTGTTATCAGATCGAGAGCAAAATCGGCAGGATTGGTGGTTGTTGGACAAGGGTATCCGAGAGAGTCGAAATGAGGAAGAAGACCAGCACCGTTTCCAGCGTAGACTGGGGAGCCTCCTCTTGCGAGCAGCAGCACATTGCCAAACTTCTGGAAGAGATCTGAGCGAGACTGATGGATTGTCAGGATCAGCGTGCGACCTTCTTGAGCCAGTCCCTGCAGCACTTCCATGATAGAAGAGGCTGTGAAAGCGTCAAGACCTGATGTAGGCTCATCGAGGAGGAGAACCCGAGGATCTGTCAGGATCTGCACAGCTATCGAGACACGGCGCTTTTCTCCACCTGAAATTCCCTTTACCGTATCAGAACCGATAAGATTATCCGCACAATCCTTAAGACCCAGCTTCATGAGAATCTCTTCGGCTCGCTGGTTCTTCTGAGCAGTAGTCATAAAGGAGGGAAGTCGTAGTCCGGCAGAGAATCGTAGGGTCTCTCGCACCGTGAGAGATGGTAAAAGTGCATCATCATCTTGACAAACATACGAACAGACGGACCGAATGACAGAATCCGAAGGTACTGATCCGTTGAAAGTCATCTCTCCATATTGCTTGTAGCTTGTTCCTACACTATTGTGAAGACGTAGAGCCATCGCGTTAAGAAGGGAGGTTTTCCCGCTTCCGGATGGGCCCATAATGACATTGAGTAATCCTGCTTGGAAAGTCGCCGTGACAGGATGAAGAATTGTCTTGGTTGGTAGCTTTCGTCCTATCATGGACCTTTTGTCCAGTTCGAGAGCGAATCTATCTAGACCGATATCAACAGTCCGAACCTCTGTATTCGATCGCACAACCATCTTTTCTTTCCCGGCAGATAGATCAGCATCTGAAGTACGTGCTTGGGCCATATTCATCTCGACGCGTAGAAACTTGAAACCGATGAACGCCGCAAGATAGAACATGGCCACGAAAGCAACCATTGCAACGATGGGTTTCACAATCCAATCTTCCGGAAATCCTAGAGAGTCCATGATGAAAGCTCCAGTGTACTGAGCGCATGCCGGATCCGACTCCCCTCCAGGAAGCGGACAATCGTAGAACTGGCCGACAAATTCGTTTGCACATAAACTCCCGAAAGCGTAAAAGACATATGCCGTCCATTTCAACCATCTTACGTAAACCGGGATACTGTTACTCTGGATGAAATACCCACATGCCATACTCTGTACTGTGTATCCTAGATTGGCAATCAGAGAGGCAGTAGCAAAGTCTCTGGCCGCTGCCACACAAGCCGCTGCA